TGGCAGGAACAACCAGGCTTCCACCACAGGGATGCCATGTCATGGGTAGCCCCAGGGAAAGCCTGGGCCAAGGAGCCCATCTGCACCCCAGCACGTAAAGAAAAGCAGCCGTGGGGACAAAAGCAATCCCTCGATAACCTCCCATCATCCTGCCTCCTTACCTGGGGTGGGAAGACATAATCCACCACGTCCCAGATGTGAGGGCCCATGACGCTCTCGTTGGTCAGCGTCAGGCCTTTCAGCTTCACTGAGACCGAGCTGACGATGCTGTCCTGAGACTGGTACCCCTTCTCATAGAGGAAAACCCACCTGGATAGGGAAAGGTGGTGGGATGAGCGTGGCCACTGGTGCTCGACTGCAGGAGCTCCAAGTCCCAGCACACCACTGTGGATTGGAGCTTCTTCTACCAAGTCTCACCTGGGGGTTTATTTGCCCAGTTCCCTCCAGCTGGATGAGGGATGTGTTGTTGAGCTCTCCCACCTTTGCCCGAGGTGTGCAGTAGCTGCAAGACCTGTCATCCACAGCAGGATGGTTTATTCTGAGGTCTGGGACATGTTTGTGGTTGAGGGTGTGTGAAGGCTGGCGGAGAAGCATGGCCATCAGCCATTTGGGATTGAAGACTATGGTGGGTTTGCAGGTTGCTGGGCTCAGCAACCTGGACCGTCCTGACCCATTTCATAAGCACTCTCCAAAATCAGTGCTCCAGGGCCAAGACAGGGGTAAGTCTGGACATGGCTCACATCTAGGGCCACACAGCAAAGGGAGCCATGGAGTGCAAGAGGGCTGCAGGAGCAGGGCTGGGGACACTGCTGTGGCCAGCACAGGGCTCTGCCTGCATTTCCCAGCCCATCATGAAGCCGTTAGGGCAGGCTCCTGACACTATTTAACCTATGGCATAAACAAGCTGCTGCTGGATTAACTCTGACTCAGGGAGACTATAAACATGGGCAAACAACCATTCCGGGGAGCGCTCCCGGCAGCGCGGAGCGTTCCTGGCACTAAAAAAGGAGCGATCTGGTTTTTGTCCCATTGCCGCGGGCACCGGTCCCGCTGCCCGTGGGACAGCCTGTGGTGCCAGCCTGTCCTCGGGCACCCGAGCGATGGGCACGGGTGAAAATAACCCCAGGTGCTGCCCAAAGGTCTGCGCTTTGGGTGCTGGATGTTATGGGGACCTCCTGGAGATTGTGGTTTTAGGCTTGCAACCCCCTCGGCATCCAAAGCAGGGGGCAAAGGGACCTCAGGGGTGGCATCTGCCCCAGTACCTGGGGATGGGAGCAGATACTCAGCACTGCTGCCACCCGAGCTGGGACCCCCAGCTCCGACCTCCTCCCCTGCCAAGGCAGTGGCATACTGGGTTACACTGGTTATACTGGGCAACTTCCCCGATGCCCTCGGGGCTGTGAGCTGGGCAGCACCATGGTGGAGTGTCTCCCTAAACCTGCCTCCTCTCCTCTGCCATTGCCACCTCATCCTACCCTGGCAGACGTGACTATGGGCACACAGAGCTGGGCACCCCACTGCAGCACAGCCTCCCCATGGCAGGGCAGGATGCGGCCCCCCCAGCTGTGGTTACAGCAAACAAGGTCTCATTTCCCCAAACAAGGTCTCATTACCCCATCATGCGGTAAGTGCCACATCCAGCCCTGCCCAGGCAGTAAAATTCCCTTGGTGTCACTACCTGCTGAGGCAGTGACCAAGCTCTCTTCCTTCACTGGCCCCATCCTGTAGCTCAGCCTGCAGCCTCCTCACGGGTGAGGTTTTCATGCAACCAAAGTCAGAGAGTGATGTCCAGCCCAGCAGTGATATCACCTTATCTCAGCCTGTCAGCAAAAACAAGAGCTGCTCCCCAAGGATAACACCAGGTTCCAGCGGGATCAGCCCCACGCCCCCCCTCTGCACTGGTGGCACTGCCTCCCGTCCCTGCAGCACAGCCATGCATCCCCACCAGCATCCCTGCTGCGGGGGACCAAAGCTGGGGTACCTGTAAATAAACCAGTACCTGCTGCCAAATCTGCTCGCAAGGAAGATGAAATCTCCAGCACGGTGGCTCAGTGCAGGCAGGGAACTGGAGCAGGGCTCTGGGCACTGAGGGGTTGCCAAAGGCCAGTGGGGCTGCGTCCCTGCAGCACAGCCATGCATCCCCACCAGCATCCCTGCTGCGGGGGACCAAAGCTGGGGTACCTGTAAATAAACCAGTACCTGCTGCCAAATCTGCTCGCAAGGAAGATGAAATCTCCAGCACGGTGGCTCAGTGCAGGCAGGGAACTGGAGCAGGGCTCTGGGCACTGAGGGGTTGCCAAAGGCCAGTGGGGCTGTGGGCAGCTCCCCCAATTACAGCAGTTTATGCCAAGCTCCTCTCTTCTGCCCCTGGCTGTCACTCCCACACTCGTTCCCTTCCTGCTCTCTCCTGTCTCCTTTTAGCTGGGTTGCTTAAGCCACATTTCCTTAGGAAGCTGTGCTTTGAGCAGCAGTCTCTGCTGGTTTCCCACCCGCGGGAGCAGCGGCCCTGGCCGGGCTTGCTGGACCCCGCGGGAGCAGCGCCCCTGGCCGGGTTTGCTGGACTCACGGGCCCAGCACTCAGGAGAGCCAGTGCTGCTCCCAGGAGCACCAGAGCAAAACCCTTTGCAGTGGAGCACCCCTGAGATCTTGGCTCAGCAGCAGTTCAGGATGAGGATTATCCTTGTGAGTCAGAACACTGGTGAGCAGCGTGGGAGCGACACAGAAGTCCCACGATGGGAAGATTTCCCCCTTTCCAGGGACCTGTACTAA